GAATTTCACTGCGTACAAAAAAATTGCCATCAAATACTATACATCTTTTGCTAAAATTAAAATTCGAGTAGGAGTTTTGGCATGCATGTTGAAGCTGCTGAGGTGACTCGCCTAGTGTTGTCGGCCCCGCCCCGCCGCTGACCCCGGGACATGATTCCAGGCAAATCCTCTTCCAAGCGCGCCTCCAGGCTCACTAACTCCAGAGACCCACTCATCTGCGCCAAGTGACGCGCTGCTGGTGATGCGCTTGCGACGTGTGGGCGACTTGGGCTGCCGGCACAGCTATCCTTGCTGTCCGTTCGACTGTCAGATGCGTGTTGTCTGGTTTAATTTCAATAAACTGAGTACGGTCGGAAGGAGTTGCTGTTCATGTCCTACAACCCTGCGTTTCTAGAACACAACCGTAACACCAATACCTAAAACCCTACAACAAGCAGTGTCGAATCACCTGGAAAAAGCTTTGAATCCCGCAAGTCCAATATTAACTCCGGGGCATTTTTCGAAATGCATTCAACAAGACGGTTGCAAGTCTGTTTGCAAGGCGGATGGGACGGTCGCTGCCCTGACTGGCATCACCGCCGGGCTCGCCGACAAAGGCTAGATAGAGGCTGGTGGCGCAGGCGCGTCGTCCTCGCCTCGCCACATCGCCACGGCCCATTGCAGTGGCAAGCGAGGCGGTGAGGGAGGCGGCGTCCGAGCCTGCTCCGCGTCCACTCCAGCTAGTGCGTGCAGCCTCCCAGGCCCATATGTGCCCCGCCCCGCGCCGCGCACGCTTCCAGTCTTCCAGGCCGCCAGTCTGTTTTCAGATCTGTCTCTGGACAGAAGTTGTAAGCAGGGAGAGAAAGGATAAAATTCGAGGTCCAAGTTTGTCTGATGCTCTGCCGAAGTTCATTCAATGAAGTTCATTGAAAGAAGTTATCAATGAATAAAATTCATTGAATGAAGTTATCAATGAATGAAGTTCATTGAATGGCGTTAACTATGAATGAAGTTCATGGAACAACGTTATCAGCGAATGAAGTTCATGGGATAAAGTTCATTAAGTGCCTTCCTCCACGAATGACGCTCATTCAAGGAAGTTCATCGAAGTCCAAGCCCCTTACGTTTTGGTTGCAGGTGCGGACGATGACGAGGAGCTCGACCTCCCGCTGGGCGGGGGAAGTGTCGGGGTCGAGGCGAGTCCGGAAGCGGAACCGGTGGTGGGTCTGGAAGCGGCCCGACTGAACCGGAAGGAGCGCACGGCTTTCAGCCGGCAGCAGGTGCTGCAGCTCGAAGCGGAGTTCCAGGACTCCAACTACCTTTCCAGGCTCAGACGCTACGAGATCGCCGTCGCCCTCGGACTCAGCGAGCGCCAGGTACGATCATCTCGGTTTAAAATTAAAGGGAGGACATTTCCCCCGTTTATCACTCCATTTTCCGTATCTAGTTTCCCAAACAAGAAAGGGTCTACAAAAGTTAATTCTCGAAAATGCGTCTTTCATTGTAACTCTGCTCTAAGAACTAACATTTACGAACTTTTGATGTTTTAGTGCTTTTCAATCAAGGGAAGGGATGTTAAAATTCCAAAATTACAGCGCCCATTAAAAGGCTTGCCTTAAATGCATCTTTGCATATTATTATTGCCATTACTGCTATGAGAGGCGATGTAATATGAATGCAACTTGATTATGGCCCTCCGACATGACCGTTGTTTTTCCTGTGCCGTTTTTGCCCTCAGGTCAAGGTGTGGTTTCAAAACAGGCGTATGAAGTGGAAGCGCACTAGGGTCACCTGCCCGCCCGCCCTGTCAGACGCGGACGAGCCCACGGACGCGCATGTTCTCGCACAGGAGGTGCTTGCCGAGCGGAGGTGACGCGCTCCTCGCCTTATAGATGACCGTGTCGGAAGTCCGTGAGGGTAAGTTTGTGAGGAAACCACTGTCGGATAGTATTCTTTTCCCGGAGAAAAACGAAAAACTGGAACAATCACTCTCACGGTACTCTAATCTCCCTCTCCTCTGCGTAGCGCCCGCTCTGCTGCCGGTCGGCCCCCCGCCTCGCCGAGCCGTCGGTTGGGTTGCCTACCCTCGAGACCACAGGGCGCCTGCCTGTGAGCGTAGTGGCAGCTACTCGAGGCGACCCACTACGAGGACCGCCCAAGAGGAAAATGTAACGTCAGTGGGAAGAACAATAAAGACTGTGCCATATGTTTTCTACAACTTGTCAAACTTGGTGGCCAACTTGTGACAAAACTAGCATTCCTTGCCTTTCCTCACGCCGGCCGATCTAGATAGTACGAGAGAAATGTAAGTCTGAACGCCGTTTCGAGTGTTCAGGCGTTCCTTTCACTTTCTTTTCGCGACGTGGCCTGGGAGTAGGACGCTCGCTGGATGGAGAGGTCTAGGGCGCCCCAGTCTCCTTCAGCATTTTTAGACAGTCCCCAAGACTGTCTCTACCAGAGGGTAAAGAGGCCCCCTACCCCTGTCCACTCCCCCTCCCTGCTATCAATGGCGCTGAGCGGGCGGCAGGCATGTGTCATAGTGTTTTTTTTTTCTCCTTAAATTTCTTGGGATAACTTAGCTTCCGTCTGTCGACCGGACCTGTTCGTCTGTCTGTCTGTCTGCTGGGCGCGCGGGTCGAGCCGGCAGCCTGCTCGTGGAGGTCGGCGGGGACGGGGGAGGGA